ATGCTATTCATTTCTTATATCTCTATGCCAATTTCCACTACTCTACCATGAACATTTCTAGAGAAATGCGGTATGAAAAATTCGGTTGGTATGAGAAGCGCCACGCCCCCTTTTCTAATAACCCCAATTTGTTTCCATGAGTATCGGATTGACTTCATATTTCTTCATACCATGTTCGAGTAGTTTGTCTCATTAGGCTGAAGATTTTTTTTCATTACTGGATTATTAATTTGAATGAAATTTTTTTTAATATCACTGCCATTATTGCATAGTGAGGCTGATATATTGCAATTTATGTACCACTAAATATCAAAAGCTATCACTATCAATAGCTACTAGTGCACACTGAAGATTAATTGCACTACCTCCAACTCTGGTGGAATAGAAGCATTTGATCGTTGCGCTCCTTATTCGTTTCTTATTTGCATGATTTTGTGTGTTTATTAGCAAAAAGTGATTGATTTCATCAAAATCAACGGTCAACGCGCGTAAAACGGCAAGAGTTAAACCAGCGCTAGTGTTGCTTTGGCGTCAGCATTGCCTATGTGAACAGCTGGCTATGTGAACAGCTTTATTTTCGGACATTCGGCTGCCTTATAGTCAAATTTTAAAGGCAATTTTTCAAATAAGGTAGTATCAAAATCTTTCTTCTCGCTCTAATTACTTCACCTGGTATAATTCGGCCATGGCTTCATATAAACATACGTAAATATTTATCTTAGCTGTCAATGCAAAGACTCCAGTAAGAAATAGAAAATGAAAAAAACGTATAAATGCATAAGTATGTAGGTAAATATCTATACACAATCCACTGCTTTTGAAGCTTGGTATCTAATTTCCATCGACACGAAAAGACACTTCTTAATCTCCTACGAGTCATCAATGCTCTACACGAGCTTCATTTAAACGCGAATATGAAAAGCAAAGTGTCTCTTTTGATTGCCTGCAATTTTTCTTGCCTCCCCATCCACATTGAACTTGATTATTTGTGCGCTTTGCTTACCCAACTGCTATGCCAGAAGATATTTTTTTTTCAGTTCGCTTTCATTTTATCGCAAAGAGCAAACCATTTATATTTGTCGCTAAGTTCGTCTGCTGGCTTGGTATTTATGTCTGAACAGGCACGTATTAATTGTCTCGGGCTGGTTTCCTTTCTTCTTGTTTTTTTTCGAAGTGAAACTTCTTTAGCGGCGGTTGGCTGGTTGGAAGAAAATTGGCAAATTCGACGACACGGAAATGAGATAAATATTAAGAAAACGATGAGGATGAGGATACCGATAAAAGTAAAGATGAAGACAGAGGAACATAGAGGAAGAAGGATTAAAATACAGGTAATTCTAAAGAAAAGGGCATAGATATTTAGAGACACAGAGACTCAACCTTGGAAACTATTTCGGGATTTTCAATATTCTCGGGACCTAGCGTCACGTGACATAAATTTCCATCGTTATATTTTTGTTAATATTGCTTTTAAATAAATTTTTAACGCAAATAAAACATGTATTTTATGTAGAATATACTTTATATAATATAATTTATATTTTGACTTCAGCGCCAATTCAGGGTGAATTTTTTGGAAATCTATGACTTATTATGTTTCAACTACTTACGCCAAATTCGAAACAAGTCGGACCATAAATACGGTTTTTCGAAATATCTAAACCTTGGCGCCACCTAGGAAGACCACTTTATGCAAATATGATTCTACTACATAGCCAGTATATATTTAAAAAAGCAGACAAATCGGCCCGTAAATACGTTAGATATACCTCCTTCCGATGGAAACACCCATATGTGTAAGCGCCGAACTATTATTATTTTTATTAATTTTGTTATCGATATTTTTATCGATTTTGTTGTCAATATTTTTAGCGATTTTATTATCGACATTTTTATCGATATTTTTGTCGACTTAGTTATCGATATTTTTTATCAACTTTGCTATTTATATTTCTTATCAATAATTTTATCGGTTTTGTTATCGATATTTTTATTAATGTTTCTATCCTATTTTGTTATCGATACACATGATGTGACATCATATGACAGAACATCACATGATATGGTATCATTTGGCATGATATGACATCCTATCACATCACTTCACATTAAATCAGCATCTTATCACGTCATCGAAAAGATAAAAACGAAGATGAAAACCAACGTAAATTTTAACACTTTACTTTTATGAGAACAATAGAGTATAAAGATAAAAATAAACGTAAAGGAAAATAAAATAACCTAAATGTAATAAGAACTAAAAGTGTAGACGTAGGGCTCTAGATAGAAGAAAGATAAATTATAACCTACTATACGTACATATGGATAAATATTGGTTATGAGACAAACTAGATATGAGCTAATAAAATTGTCAGTACGGGAAAAGAAAAGTGTGACAAGCTTAAGAAATGTCATTGAAAATAATATTGCATAAATTATAAGTAAACAACTTATGAAAAATATAAAAACTTAAACGAATACATCAATCTCAGAAAATTTTTCATCAACGCCCTATTTCAGAATTTGGTTGAAGAACGTTCTAAATATTTTAGAATTCGATTCAAAAATGCTATTAAAATTCCATTGACTGAATAAACATAAACATAAGCATAAACATAAACATAATGTTGATTACTTTTAAAAAGAAAAAGTATGTAAATCTTTAAAAAGGTGGCAGGAATAGATAGTGTGGGTCGAGGAGCAGGTATAAAATATTCCACCTATTTGAATAAACAGCTTAGTCTTTAGGATTTTGTAGCTGCAGTACAAAGACACTTTGAATGCAAATAAAAACAAACTCAGACGTGCTGCAGTGGAATTCTGCCAATCGCTGCGCAAAATTTCCATCGCCAAAATTCTCTACATGAAAATCGCTGCGGCCGAAAAGGGCGCTACATGAAAAAACTAACAGATTCAATTTGTAGTCAGCCAAAGCTGGCAGTATGAGGGGCATGTAATTAGATGTAGAATGTTGTTAGTTTCGTCTGCTATTCTTTTGAAGATTGAATCCGGCTGCTGGGTTGTAATTTGGTATATTGAAAATGGTCAGCTTGATACCTCCTTTCGAAAGTAGATATATCGTGGTCATTTTGTAGCAAAAATATAGTTGTACATAAAGTGTAAAAGTTAAGCTGATGCCAAATTAAAGGTGTCGTGCAATAATGTCAATGGAATTAATGTCAATTGACATAAATTCACTTTTGTAAGGGAATTAAAGTCAATGACATTAGTTCGCAGGCCAAAAGTGAAATAATGTCAGAAGAATAGTAGAAGAAATGTCATTGAAATTAATACACAATTGAAAAGTGAATTAATGTCAGAAATTTTAAAAATCATGCAATGTTAAAAATCATACGGTCACGTCTAGTACGGACGGGCTTTATTTCTGTCCATTTTTAGAGGTTGAATCAATTCCAAAGTGGCATAATGTCAACTGACATTAATTCCATTGACATTATTGCACGGCACCGGATAAAACGCATACTTCGCTGTTCTTTTACAACTACTGGAATTACATTCTGCAACATTTTAGTGGTTGAAAGAGATTAAAAAAATATCTTAGACATTAAAAATTGGATATATATTTATTAGCCAAAAAAATAGACATAATTTTCTTATAATCTAAAACTTGACATATATTTTTGGTCGTTTAGAAAACTGGACATAAATTTTGGAAATAATTTCCTGGCAATTAAAAATATGCACATAATTTTTTTTGTAACTGTTTTTAAGAAATGGATATACTTAAATCTTTTGCTATTTAAAAAGTGATCAAATATTGGCAATTATTAAACTGTACATGCATTTTGGTCATTAGAAAACTGAACATTTCTCGAACAAAATTGTGTCATTTTAAATTTGAACAGGCTGACTAATTTAAAATTAATTGGTGCAACTGGGCAAGAATATTTTAATAAAAAAATTCAATTATTTCAAAGCTGACATACTTACAAATATTTTTAGTCACCTAAACATTAGGACATTCATAAACTGGTATTTGAAAAACAGGGCAGAAAAGTTGGTAGACGTAATTTTTTATAAACTTGAAACTGGGTATACACTTTTGTTATGTACATATATACCAATTTTTGGCGGTCTAAAAACAGGGCACACATTTTTGGTAATTTTAAAAGAGAACATATTTTTTAGTCATTTAAAAACTGGACATAATAGGCATAATTTTTTGATAATTTATTAAACTGAACATAGTTTTTGGAAATGAATTTTCCGAGATTTAAAGCTGTGCATATATTTTTGGTTATTTTGATAGTGGACCTAATTTTTTGGTCATAAAATATACATATATTTTAGAAATTAATTTTTGGTATTTTGGTAATGGAAAAACTGGGCATAAAAAATGGCCGTTTATAAACTTTATATAACTTTTGGTTAAATATTTAAAATACTATTGGGCATCTTAAAAGCTGAATAAGTGTATTTTACAGGTTTGCACGGTAATATATGTGAAAATGCATAGTGTGAGTTTTCTGGTGCCTTGCGATATATGTACATAATGCGATACTTAAGACTCATGCACACAAATTTTTTATATTCGAGCAACTTGGCTAAATTCAAAATACATAGCATTTTCAGCGTTCTTAAATCCCCTTACATCGGTTGCCACAGTTTCATTTAAGCAATGAGTGCGAGAAACTATTTAATTTTGGCGCCCAAAATCGTGCGCACAGATAACTACAACTTGCCACTTGTTGTTGTCTATGACTTAATTACACGTGTAGGATTTTACTACGATATTTTACGGACGAGGTCAGCTGAGTATAAACCAACAGCGAATCGCAGCTGTAACCGCAACCACACCCACTTTCATGTGGCGTAAGCGTGTGGTAAACTCGAGACCACAAGTCCAGCAAATGCACTAAAGTACGTAAAGCGCGTTTACCACACGGGTAAGCGAAGGTGAAGTGAATAGCAATAGCAAATATTTAAAAAATAATAAATATTTGCTTTGTTTGCATACATTTTTTTTTTTTTAAACTTACCGCTTTTTGGCTGCTGATTTTGTTGTTCTTGCGTTTGGAAATTTCACCAAGTTCATTGAAGTATTATTAAGCGCACTGGCTGTAAGAGCATATAAAGCTACAAACGCTTTTATTTTCACAAATTATAACTAGTTTTTTTCAACACTTCACAATAAAATGAAGTAGCGTTAAGAGTATTTATTTCAAAAATATATCAGTTGAGCTTTTGTTTGGTTTGGTGTGCTTTTGAATATTTTGATTTTCGCTTTTCATTAACTTTTGTTTGCAAATTATTTTACAAATTCTGCGCTACCAACTTTAAAAGAAAAATATATCACATGTGTTATTTTTCCCAATTTCAAATGAAACTTGTATTCATTATTTTCTATTTTTTCTGTTTTTTTTTTGTTATGCTTTCCACACACTTTCGATGTCTTTATGAAAACATTACCGTGCGCGCTGAATTCCGCCGTATATCTGAGTTTTATCGCCTTTAGCGCGGTCCTTTTATGCTGTGGCTCTAAAAAATTGTTGTAGTATGCATAAATGTGTACCGAATTGTTCCAACGCACGCATGCGAAAATATATTCGCAGCTTCGCTAGACGTACTCTCGCTTTCACCTACAATCGTTTTAGTTCCACTTTCCAATTGGGAACAGTTGACCGAATATTTACTCTCGCTGCAAAGTGTAGCCAGTGCGACCAGGGTGGCCTTTTTGAGGCTAGATTAAGCACTTCATTTTATGCAATAGGCCCCGAACTTTAGGTCTAGCTTTGTGGCATTTTCCTAGGCTTTCTTTACTTCAAATACTCATAAAAAAATTCGGACCGGAATATTTTACTAAATAGTATCTCAAGGACAACCTTTTACCCTTCAAAAATTGCAATGGCTGTGCGAAATACTATTTTTTTTAGAAAATTATTACTTCTTTTCGCTTTTCTTAGGTTTGCAAAAATAAGTATTAGGTTCGATTAGGCTTGGTACGAAGACATTTTTTTTCATTGTATTTTTTACAGTTTGATTTTTTGGCGTACTACCAGTGTACTTTACGTATGTAGAAAACAACAATTTTTCTATAGTTTGATGCCCAATGAGCCATACTTCCATTCACAAAATTTTTTCTTTCTTCTTTTATTTTGTGTTCGATGAGAAGGATATAAAAAGGGTTTAAAGAAAATCGCTTTCGCTGAACACGACGAGTTGGTGAAGAGTTTTTGACTTCTTTTTAACTTCATTTTTCACACTACTTTAACTGATGCTTCTAAAAATTCATTTAGCTTGGGTTTTTGCGATCACCTGGTCACATTGATTCTGCTACGAATCGTACATACACATAATAAAAGAGTGAAAAACCATCTTATCACTAAAACGACAACAAAAACAACCATGAAATGACAGGAAATAATGGAAGTAAACATAGTATAACAACACAAAGTTCCTGAGAGCGAAAACAGAGCGCAGCGCTGCAAAACTGAGTTTCTGATAACACAGCCTTTTGGCTGAGTTACTGATAAGAATCGAGATTGCTGCAGACTATGCGGAACACAAGCTAATATTTATTGATGTAGTTTTCCGCACAATCTCGTTGAAGTGTGCAGTGAACTCTGTCTGCCAACATTTTTCAAAGGGAGAATTTTTTCCTCGAAAAAAATCATACATCTTGTTTGATACATTATTTACTTTTATGTCTTAAGGTCAAATATCTGGAATTTATACTTGCTAAGCGGCTTAGTTGTAAGTCCTGTCTACTTAAGTAGTACAAGCCAATATTAAAATATTTCGGATTTCAGCCTTGAAAATCTATCAAAATTTTGTGCATCGTACCGTAAAGCTATTCTAGGAGACTAGTGGCTTAATCGACCGTAAAACAGCTAGCTATACGCACTTAGATAAAAAGTTTAAATTCAATATAATGAATAATATCAAAACGATTTTACAATACCCACGTCAAAGGAAATAGGTTTGAGAAAACATTGTTTCGAAACAATATTTTTGAGCAGGGCTGCCACCTGTTTAATAAGTCAATTGCAACTTTATTAACAACTTAAAGGCAGTATGGGCGACAAACGAAAGGGGCTTGAGACAGCTTTGTTTCGAAAGCATTTTTGAAGGGGGTTGCCACCTGAAAGATTTATTTCGATAACATTTTTAGAAGCGCTGTTACCTATTTGAAAGTTAAATTAATTTTATGTAACAAGTTATTAGTAAGTAACAAGTAGTTAGTAAGTATTACAAATGCATGTCAACAGAAAGATGAATGTTTTATCTAGAAAACATTTTTAAATAGGGTTGCATCCTGTTTAAAGTGAGTTTCACGTTAAGTTAAATGTTAAAAGAGATATATCCATAAATAAATATGCTAACATAAATTTTGTTTGGTGATTCTACCGAACCGATTTCAAAACCATTGGAAAATTATTTTTTTGTAGATGAGGAAAGTTTGTATGGTTTCAAAATTGGTTGAACATTACGACCAAAATTGCCGTTTAAAAATTCTTTATTTCATTGGTTGTTGTTGCAATTTGTTTAATTTGCGTGTTTTTCGCATTTTTTTACTTCGCGTTTGAAATTAAGCTTTTTAACAAAAATAAACGTGATTGTGAAGAAATAAATGATAAAAACGATTAAGACAAAAGAGTGAAGGCGATATTGACGATAAAATTCAGTCATAGAAAAATTTTGTTATCGAATGTTATCAAGGTACCGAAATTTATCGAATCATCGAAGTTGATACTTATCGAAATTTATCAAGTTATCAATTTTTTTGATTTATCGCAAAGTATCGAATTATTAAAATTGATCAATGTTTATTGAAGTGTCGAAATTTATAGACACAGAAACTTAGTTGTCGAAATTCAAGGATAATTATCAAGTATCGAAATTTGTCAAGTTAACAAAATTTATCAAGTTATCGATACTTATTTATAGAGTAAACGAAATTTATCGAGTTATCGCAATGCATCGAGTTCTTTCAACCAAACAAGCGCGGGATTTTCCGGTAAGTAATTTTGCACCTTATAAATTAAATGACGCACTAAGTGAGAAAACCTCGCGAGGCTCTTAAAACAACTAGAAAAACGGTCGAATGTCGGCAGTAACTGGCACTCCTATTATATATAACAATGTGGATGCCAAACGAAAGAATGTTAAGGAAGCTTTGTTTTAAAAAAAGTTTTCAAATCATTTTAAAAAGGGAAACAATTTTTTTGTGCCTTTATGGAGGTTTCACGTTAGCATTTAAATTAGTTAATTTGTTAAGTTAAATACTCTGGCTTTTCCATTATTTTTTTTCCAATACAAATTATTCAGTTCTAAAGCAATGTGCTCTCTTTCTTTATATTTTCGCCCAGAAACTTTTTAAGTAAATATCTTCCGGATAAGTAGCTATGGGAATGCAAGAATGCCATATAAATAAATGTGCATATCGTTGGTCTTGTGCAATAACGGCACAATACAAAATTCAAAAATTAAAAACTGTTACTACTTTTGTGGCTCTTGTCTCTAATCCTTGCCTAATCCATTTCCGTCCCTTACTAAATTAAGCAGTAAGGATTGCTGAATTAAGTACAAAAGATTAGACATGGATTCGACAAGGACTAGAGACTTGAGCCACTTAACAGTAGTAACAGCTTTTATTTTTTGAATTTTAAATTGTGTCGTTATTGCACAGGACCATCGATATCAGTTTGTATTCATATATGTACATATGTAAGTGTGTGCATGAGACCCGCACTCGCAGTGATTTTATACTCACTCGCTCGCATTGCTTTGCCTCTCTGACACTTACTGCGTCTTATAATCAAAGATGTTTGCAGAAGTGGATTTAATTTTTATCTACACACTGTAAATATACATATTTTCTCTCTAGGGGTATTCTCGGAGTCTTGCAAAGCCCTTGGACGGCGCACGGATTGCACGGTTTGCAAAGCTGTCCCATAGGAAAACCGGTTTTTTCGTGCAGTCCATGCACCATGCATCATGGGCTTTGCAAGACTCCGTTATCCAAGAATGATAGAATACAAGATTGCGCCGATCAGAGAGGATTTTTGAGAATAACTTTTGTGTGACGTCACACTGGTGCAATCGCGAGAGAGAAATGCCAAAACGTGAGCAAGAATGGAAGAAGAAGAAAAAATGTTGCAAGGAAAACGTAAACAAGTCGCAAAAGTGTGACGTCATGCAAACAACGATTCTGTCAAATTCGTTAAGAGAGGAATAGCGGTCCGAGATCGGCGCAACCTTTGTATTCTCTCAATCGTGTCCCTTATCTGTTTGCTGCAAATATTGTGGTGGGATATGTTTTATTTAAGCAGTGTTTGCATTATTCAACTTTGCGTTCAACAATTGCGTTCAACTCAACGTAGGGTTGCACGAAAAAAAAGTTGAATGGCTAAATGTTGGCTGGCGACCAACTTTGTTGAAAGCGATTAGTTGAAAGGCCATTCAACCAAAAGTTGAATGCAAAGTTGAACAATGCAAACACCTTTTTATGGCGAATATTTTGAATTTACGCAAATCACAAAATTGAATTCGATGGTTTGGAAGTTAAAAATGATAAAATGCAACTAATTAAACTCGTTACATGTAAGTAATTATTCGTGTAATCCTTAAATTGTGTTCGGGTAACACTTTGAGATCAGTTTTCTTACGTTTTAGATTTTACACTTTTGAATGTCAACGAAAATTCGATCAGCTGTTCGTCTAACTTGCAAGTTTCTGAAAATTTCCTGTTCATGTAAAATTCTGGATATTTTTCTCTTGTGGCAGAGCAGATGCCATATCGCCGGAAATTTGCTGTTGTATGTTTTTAACTGGCGATATTAAACGAACCTACCTAATACACAGAAACGTGAATTCCACTTACGTATCTACATTCACATATATGTATGTATGTGCTTACTAAAATATACATGTGTAGTATGTACATTTGTTTACTATAATCAGCTGCTCAATTTACGATGGCGCAGCTAAGTATACTAGTTTCATAGCGCAGGTTTCGCGCCACCCGAGCAGGGTGGCTATTTAAGAGCGAAATACACCACACAAGCGGCTTGTCAAACATTATTCAAACCTACTTTTCCCATTTCGCCATACACCATGCAAACATGACTCGTTCAAGCAAAGAATTTTAGTTTTCTTCCAGTTCGCAATGCTAAATATTATGGTTTTCTTTCATTTTCCTCTCTTACGTCCTTACTCGGTGAAAATTTCGTTGCGAATGAGGCGATTTTGCTATACA